TTACATTTGAATAGTTTCAGATTATAGATATCAGGGAAACAGGAAGAGGGGGGGAGTTTTACAGGCGAGAGGTGCGAAACATGAAGCTATTGGAGTAGAAGAAACGGCTACATTTAACAGTTTTGACAGTGAAAGGGTGAGAGCGAGATGCCAGCTTAATAGAACGCTTAAATTCATGAAGTCTGGGAACCAGCGAAAGCAGCTCCTTGGAGCAGTTACCATGAAAGTATTTGTAAAAAAAGACAGAGGGAGGCGACGTCACGTCTGTGAGAGAGCGACTGCAGACGAGATGCTAGATCAGGGCCAATTATATTGCATATCAGTCTCTAGATTTTATCAAGGACCTTGAGACAAACAAAAGGAGCTCAAGATCATATATGTCAGTAATACTCCATGCAAGGTCGAATAGTTGATTTGTAGATTTGAAGGATCGACTCCGGCACAGGGAGCCAACTTTTCTTGCTGTGGACGAAGCTATTGACTCAATGTATTTGTTCAATCTCAGGTCAGCAGACAATGTGAGACCGACCAGTCGCAAAGAGGTGTTCTCGTGGATTTGAGCGTCAGACATTCTAATGGGAGACAGGGATGGTTCCCTGTGGTAAGTAATAGAAGGAAGTTTTGTTTTTGAGGCATTAAAGTTAACCAGCCAATTCCTGCCCCAGTCCACAACCGATTGGAGGTCCTTTTCGAGACAAACGGCCAGGTTAGTTTTGTTAGCGACATAAGATTTGTTTTTGAGGCAGGAGTAAATTATATACTATACTAAATTTAATATAACCAACCTAGTCATCCATAACAACTCTTCTCAGTCATTAGCGTTTTACAAAAGAGCAACATCGTATATCAATTTAAATGTCCTTTGGGAGATTGCATGTTAATACGTATGTTGGTTTTACAACAACGACGATGACGAGAAGGCTTACGTGTCACTTGAACGATCATATTTCAATCTCAAAACATTTAAAAGAACACGCATCTCCACATTAACAGTTTAGAAAGATATTACTCGAAAATGCATCATTACTTCATCAACATAATAATAAGCAAAACCTTAAAATTCTGGAAGCCGCTTGTATAAAAGAATCGTGACCAAAAATAAATAAAAAAAATGTGTGTAGCAGCAAAGTGTTATATAAAAAAGTACTAAATTAAAATATTACATTTAAAAAATCTTTTAAACATCACATGAGTTACCTCCCTTGCATCGTGTGAAAAAATATTTTGAATTTACGAACGCATAACATATCTATGGATATGCAAACCCTGAAGATGGTCTTAAATATGATTGAAAATACTGAGGAAAATAAAAATTATTTGCAAGAAAATTTGGGAATTTTTCTTAATCAATGTTCTACAGTCACTAAGTAATTAATTCAGGAACTTGAAAGGATCAAAATTAAAATAAATAGACAATAAATGTAAATTATTTAATCAAACATGCTTGAATGAAAATATGCTACACATACAGACACAGTCACAGACACACACACACTCACAGACACACACACACACACATACATATATATATATATATATATATATATATATATATATATAGAGAGAGAGAGAGAGAGAGAGAGGGAGCACGGTGGAGTAATAGATAGCGGTTTGGATTGAGGAATCGGAGAGTTGAGCCGAGTTCGAATTACAGTCGAATCCATTACATTCACTTACGTGCTAATACCCTTGGGAAAGGTGTGAATCCTCCTCTTCTCCCCCAGGTATAAGGAAATAGCAGGACAGACTGGGTTCTATAGCCTTGGAGGGCAACTGGTCTTGGAGAAGGAAAACCCTGAATTCAAAACCTGCGGAGGGTCATTTTGAGGACCTTGTGGCATGTAGTGCACCAGGTCTCTGTATTCGGCCCTTCAAAAAGTGTGGATGGTTCTGTACAAAACCTTCACCACTATAATCAAATCTCGTGTGTAGGTGTCGGGCTGTCGGTTCCTAGGAACTGATCTGCTTAACCCTCATACGTCGAATTCAACGGAGAGTCGAGTATATATCTACACACACACACACACACACACACATATATATATATATATATATATATATATATATATATATATATATATATATATGGGGAAAGAACCCGTTAGATAAATAATCCGAAGTTCTTTAGTATTTATTTTATTTTTAAAAAACAGTGCTCAATACAAAAGTAGATCCTAAATTATAATTATTTTTTTTAAATTCCAAAAATTTCGCTTGAGGATAAAACATAGCTTGATACTTTAATTCAATTTAATTTAAATAATTATATTGAAGCTTTTGGCCCTGTTTTTGAAACATGAGAACTCTTATGGAGCGAAGGAATCATATTTTTTTTTAAATAATTATAATATATATATATATATATATATATATATATATATATATATTGTTAAACATTTTTGTTGTTGTTTTTTGAGGAGGCGTTTCACGTTATTGTTAGAACAAATGAATTTGCTACAGAGAAAATCCCGTTTACGATTTCTTGTGCTTACTGAGAAGAAAAGTGTCACATCATCTTTACAAATGATGCGACACTTGTCGTCTAGAACAACGTTCTCAATCGATGAGGCTCGGGTGCACTGATGCGGCCTGAAAGGTTACCAGATGCACATCAAGTTAACAGAAGAGCAATTTATGAATTATTTTCATATTTAAAAAAGTTTCATTTATAAAACAAAAATAATAATAATCTAGAGACACCATGCACATAACTTCAATGTTTATGTCAAGCCCATGTCATTTAATATTGTAAAAATGGATGCTAAATTCCTTAATTTTTAAGTAAGGAGTGGATAAACCTTTCCTCTTTGCTTTCCTCAAGGGATTAACATATAAAGCCTATCTTTCAAAATGTTTCACACAAGCAGACTTAAATATACTTACTTAAATGTAATGTCTTAAAAATAGATGCTTATTTCAGGAAATTTCTCCATTATTTTCCTATACGCGAATTTCATATCTAATTTTCCTTATTAAAATTGAAAGTGTACCCCAGAGTTTTACTTATTGTACAAGTGTGGCCTGAAGTAGAAAAAGGTTGAGAAACACTTGTCTACAAGCTGAAGTCTAAAAGAATTCTTTACCTTAAATTTTTAGTAATAAAAAAAAACAGTTTCTCTAAATTGAAACAATCGACTTAACGCTATAAACACTGAAGACGTGCTTCAACATCAGAGAAGAGTGAATAACAATTAAAACAGGGGCCATTAAACATCCTTACTTCGCCCCCTTTTTAACTTAAAAATGGGAACTAACATCTGACTTTCTGGAAGCTTGCACATTTTCAGGAAAGGACATTATGTCCTTGAGCATCTCATCAGGAATCCCAATCTTTTTTTAACACTGACCACAAACCATCGCGGTTAATGGAATCAAAAGCTTAAAGACCACAAATGACCCACCGTTTTTCTCCCGCACTTTCTTTGCAACCTGTTACAAACAATATACCACGTTCATGGTCCCTCTCCCAGGCCTAGAATCACACTGGGATTCAAAATAAACATGACCTGCAAGGTGAGTCGTTATTATTCTGTTGAGAATAACTCTAGCAATTATCTTGGCTGCCTTGGAGAGAAGTGATATATCCCCAATCATCGGTCCTGACCTGACATCTCGGCTTTAGTCACTTTCCAACCGTCGCAACGTGGCTTCCCTCGGCCTTTTCTATAAATACTTTCATTATAACTATTTTAATGAACGTTCCTCCATGGTACCTAGACATTATGAATTTAAGCACAGTACTAGATTGGCGGCTAGGTCTCATCATTTTAGAGCTGAAATGGCTAGATGTATTCGTAAATTCCATTCTAACAGTTTCTTCTATCGCAGCTCTCGCTTGTGGAACACCCTTCTGGCGTCTTCCTTCCCAGTGATCACCAAAAATTAAAATGTCAATCGTTATCTTCTCTCTTGTTAATTCTTGTTCTTTCATTGTTCTCCTTTTTAATAGCATTTTCCTCATGGTCCCTAACACTTAGTAACTCCTTGCGTCTTAGTGCTTTTATTGCCTTACTGGGGGTGAAATGATTATAAAAAGAAAAAGCAAATAGGTTTATCAAGTCTACTATTATCGCTCTTTTTAGTACTAATGGGAGTTTCCTTCCTAAGCTTTTGCTTAATGTTCTGTGGCAAGTTAATATTTTGATCATTCTCATGGTCTCTAACACACAGTGATTCCTTGCGTCTTAGTGGATTTATTGCCTTACTTGGGGTGGAATGATAAAAAAAAAGGTAGCTGAGTAATGGAGGCGTCTTTAAATTCCGAAGAAACCTTGCCATGTTTCCAAACCTTGAAAAACAAATGCAAGAGCTTACGCAAAAAATACGTCACTTCCTTTAGAATCATATATTGAAAGAAAAGCATTGTCTAAAGATCACAATACATTTGTAAAACAATTATAAATGCAAATAAACAGCAAAAATAAATTATTTGTCACGTATATATATTTTATATACAAATTATTAAAACAGGTAGTGAAAAAGTATTTGGACAGAATATATACCGTTTCGTCGGTATTACGTCATCGCTAGTCGATTTGCTTCATAATTATTTACTTTATAGCTATTTTTTGATTGCCGTATATGTTGGATCAGAATCTAGTTAGAGAATTTCCGTCCTTAAAGGAATTGAATTAATGACACACATTAGAAGGAGAATTTAAAACAGTTTTCAAATTGTTCTAAAGTAGGTCCGTTAGATGCTAATAGTGGTGACGATCTACGACGTTGTGGGGTTGTGGGGCCATAAACTTGTGTTATACACCCCTTTCTAGTACGCTTTTATGTCCTTTCTATCAGTAGTAGTTTTGTTACTCGGCTGCTTTTGATGACCAACACTCTTCTTTCATTTTCCTTAAGGTCCGTTGATTTGTTTGTTTACAGGCCAAAGTATTACTTCTTTTTTACTGAAGATTTTTTTTTATCATATGGGAAAAATGCATTTTTTTCAACCATACATTGTATTTCTGTTTCATTCAAAACCGATTTCGACGCTCACAAACTTGGCTTTGACAAATCAAGAACTTCATGGGAAGGAGAACATGGAATATGGTATTTCATTGACATAGATAGATAGATAGATAGATAGATAGATAGATAGATAGATAGATAGATAGATAGATAGAACTCAATCGACACAGATAGATAGATAGATAGAAGATCAATCGATAGATAGATAGATAGATCTCAATCGACAGAAAATAGATCAATCGACATAGAAAGAACTCAATCGACATAAATAAATATAACAATCAATAGATAGACAAAGATAGATCAATCGATAGAAAATACTCAATCGACATAGATAGATCTCAATCAAGATAGATAGATATAACTCAATTGACAAAGATAGATAGATAGATAGATAGATAGATAGATAGATAGATAGATAGATAGATAGATAGATAGAACACAATCGAGACAGATAGATAGATAGATAGATAGATAGATAGATAGATAGATAGATAGATAGATAAAAGAAGGCGTTATAAATTCACACTGGTCGCTTCCACCTTACTGACAAATAACAAGACGTCAACAATTTCAAAACAACCAGTGAATAAAAATATTTTCTCCTTCGACCCGATCTTGACTAGACGCTTTGCCCGTGGCTTATTATTGAAAAGGTTTCGCACGCGACGGTATTGTTATGTATTTCGTCGTTGTAATTACAGGTATAGAGGGGAGGTCAAACTGCGGCCGGCACTAACACCTGGGGGCGTCGAGTGCCCAAATTGGTCTGATATAATAATTGTAATTAGAGTGGCCTTCATAAAATATGATAAACGATTGACGTCTGCAATTGTCTCGCGAAACTTCATATAGCAATTGTTCAAGAAAGAAGAAAGGAAAAGTTCACGCCATGGCATATGTCAGTTTTAGCTCGAACCTCGAAGTGTCTCGGATATTCGATCCTACCCTCCCCCACCGACCAAACCCACCGCCATGTTTTTTTTTTTTTTTTTTTGTTTTTTTGTTTTGTTTTTTTTTTTGCTTTTTTCGATGGGGCGGATGAACTACGTGTATGGTGGATTCTGTGCCTAAGAATCAAACGTTAAGTACCCATTGTCCGCATCAATTTATTTCCCTGCTCTCCAAACGAAACGGTTTTCAATAAGCAAAGAGATTTACCCAACTTTGCCTAGTCTGGCACAAGGCTAAACGTCAGTGCACCCAGTGAGGGTCATACTCACATTTAACGCCGTACGAGATCAACCCGCATTATCGCTCTACGGCAAAAATTCATATATTTTTTTTAAAAATCATTTCACCCTAAGCAAGGCAATAATGTCACTAAGGCACACGAAATACAATATAGCAAACAATAAGTAAACGGTACTAAAAATAAAACGAAATATTCCTAGGCATGAGCTGTGGAACGAGAACAGTTTACCCCGTAGATTAAATAAAGGGTTCAGTTGATCGTACGGGAGCCGGTGTTTCACATCCGGTGTTTCAATGTGATGTGGCTGTAAGCCAGGTAATAGAGGAAGTAAGTAAGTGAATGACTCCAGCTTTTTTTTCCCCGCTCATACCTTGCAGCTTTAGACCCGCGTGTTTGCTAAGAAGCAAAAGTTGTTTCTGAAAAAAATGTAACAGTGAGACTCCTGTGACGTCGTCCCCCGGTCGCAGCGCCGACTGTGACGTTCTATCCTGATCTACCACGGCGCCAGTTGTGACGTCTTCGCCGCGGCGTCAGCTGTTCGCTCCTCGCCATCCGTCCGGGTGTCGCTGCTCCAAACGTGAGGTTCTAACTCTTTGGTGATTCGGGTAGGAATCTGGTTAGATTGATACCAGCCTCGCCGTTTCCAACCCGCTTCCAACGCCTGGTTACCAGGGTAACTGCACTGATCTCCAGTCTGCCTACCCACGTTGTGAATTGATCTTAGACAGACGAGATCAAACAGGGGTTGCGGCCGTAATGCAAGCTGTGTTCAACGGGGGTGATAACACACAAATATGTATAAAAGAAAAGAAAATGAAAACTCACAAAGTTCAAAGTATCAAAGAAAAAGGTAACAAACTTTTTATGTCTATTTGTTCGGTACATAGGACTATGTCTACTTCCCGACCCGTTCTGTGGATTGTGGCACGACGCTTTCGCTACGCACACTTTAACGCTTCCAGTTGTCTGCTCTCTAACAAATTTGTGTTTCGGTGTGTCTTTGGACGAAAGTCGAAAAACTTATTTCTGTGGTCTGGTTCTAAGTCGCTCTTCAAACTACTTGTTCTTGGTTGAAGAAGAGTCCAAAAGTGTGCGTGAATCTTGGTCAGCTATCTTGATGCGGTTTCAACACTGGGCACTCATCTCTGCCTGCCGTCCGGGGCTCAACTGATTTCTGTCTGGTGGGGCTTCGTTTTTATTGACGCCGTCAAAACTGGGGTGGGTCTGTTGGCGCCAGGGGTTCTTCGATAATTCTAAATACGTATCCACCCTTCTTATTTCTGGTTAGGGATTTTCCACTCTTTTCCATTTTTGGTAACTCTTTTCTCACTCCCACTCTCTTACCGTGCTTCTGAGGGGCGTGCACTGCCTTCCCCACTTCTTCGTATCGGCTTCTCATACTTACACTCTGGATAGAGGCGTCGACTGATTTTCTTCGTGCGTCACGTGACCACTCTCGGCCAATGAGGTCCTAGTCGGGTATCTTTCCTCCTCCTCCGTGCGTCACGTGGTCCACTTGGCCAATGACGTCTTGGTCGGGTATCTTTCCTCCTCCTTCGTGCGTCATGTGATTCACTTGGCCAATGACGTCTTAGTCGGGCGTGAACAACCCGTGGCTTTGTTTTGGGAAAGAAATACCTTCCTTAACTAAAAAAAAAAATTAATTAAATCGCCCTTATCATGAGCAGCCGATGTGACAACTCTTGGTTTTAACACGTGGCGTTTGTCAAGCAGTTTATCGCTAATTGGACATGGCCTAAGAAAGTGATTTTCCTCCAAGATCTCAGCCAACTTGGCGTCTTCAAAGCAGAAATAAAAATATTTCATTTTCCTTCGGCCCATGTGTTGATAACAAAAAATCTTTATTATCGCAGGGCAAAAGTCTATTCTGTCAAAAGAAAAACTTAGCCAGTGAAAACTACTTGTGTGGGATTTTAATTCTCCACACCCAGCCAAGACTGTCTGTGTTTCGTCGATGTTCAACAATGGATTTCTTCTTTTTGGTGACATCCATTGATAACAAAATTCCATTTTTCGTGGACAAGCGGAAATCGGTCAACGCTTGTTCGTAGGTGACCTAGATATTTTCGACATCTGATACCTATCAACAATAACTTTTTTCCTCCTTATTCCCGTCTCTTAAGCCGTGTGTGTGTGTGTTCGCCTATGACCCGTCTCGTATTACTTTTTCTTTCTTCTTCGTTTTCTCTTTCTTTCTCCCAAATCGCTTGAATGCAAAGAAAGAATTATTCTTAAAACCTAAAATATTTTTCGGCCTTAAATAATCCTCAAATGGTTGATAAACCGTAAAAAAGTAAATCATATATCTATAAATATTTCTTTCAAATCGTCAGGATGCATGGTGCCACACTCCTGTTATAAGGCAATCCGTTGCATTGTAGCTAGTTGGCAATTCCTTATGTTCAGCAATCTACTGTCAAATGGAAATGTACACATATCCACCATTTTGGCGCGTTTTCTTCATTCTATTTCTTAGAAAGATAACTGATGCCAATTTCCGAACCGGGGCTTACAACCTTATTCCAATATGAGAATTAAATACGACCGCCCGCTGACCACATCAAATCAATCAAGCCTGTTTATTATTGATGCCTAGTGATACTTATTTTTAAAAGTCGACCATTTGCTTATTTTTTCTGGTGGGGATTTTCGCACGTTGGCGAATATCTAATGTGTCACATAAAGTGAGGTGAAACAAGTATTTGGACAGTAAAAAAATGGATTTAGAATCATATATTGAAAGAAAAGCATTGTCTAAAGATCACAATACATTTGCAAAACAATTATAAATGCAAATAAACAGCAAAAATAAATTATTTGACACGTATATATATTTTATATACAAATTATTAAAACAGGTAGTGAAAAAGTATTTGGACAGAATATAAATTATGCTTTAAATGTGTTTAATATTTAGTTGGTCCTCCTTTATTTGCAACCACAGCTCTCAGTGTGTTCCTGTAGCTCTCTACAAGCGCCTGGCATGATTTTGGATTTTTGTCGCTACCACCGCGTTTATTTATGCGCATGTTTGTGCGAAAACAAACAGTGGAAGTCGAAGTCGATTGAAATTGGAGCAGGGTGAAGTGAGTTGACAAACAGTCGAGATAGATATATATATATATATATATATATATATATATATATATATATGGCAGTGGAGAGTAAAAACGCCCCCTTGCTACTGTAATAAGGGAGGAAGTGAACTCAAGTTCTCTGCAATATTGGCGCAATACTGCCAGTGCACACTCTTATATACTGATAGTGAAATAATTACGGCAACTACTAAGAACAAAAAGGGTGAACCCGAAAACTACTTCTCTCCTTTCAGAATTATTTGCAATATTTGTTTTTTGTTTGGTTTTTTTTTTTGGGGGGGGGTCTGGGCTTTATTTCATATATACTACTTTCTTTTAAAAGAAGCATTATTCTTTTTGTACCAAATTCTTCCTTATATACATATACGTAAAGTTTTCTTTGGACTCGAATCGACTTGTTCATATTTGATTTTTTCGCCTCAAGGAACTTATAGGTAGACCAGTTGAATCTTCCGGGATCTACGATTTGTTAATTGCTCTCCAGGATAAAAAAAAATCACAACGTGGCTGGAAAGTGGAATCGAATCAACATTGTGAACTGGAGACTTTGATTGAACCTGTAATACTGAACCAGGACAGAACCAACGTCCGGTCTTGTGGAATCCATCGATCTAGTGGGGTCGTTATAGGTGTTACACTAGAATACTGAACGAAGTGCTGGAGAATTAACAAGATTTTTTATATCAATGAAAGCCAAGAAATGGGGATGAAATAAGTATAAATAATGATAACTCCATTTTTGTGATGTGTTCGACCCTCACCTGCAGTGACCTTGTGTCAGGATAAAAGTAAATAACTCCGGTGACAACTGTCATGGGAAGGTTAACAAATCTGTTTCGTTGAACAATTAATTTCTGACTCCGTGGCCAAATACAAGGTAATGAGCCTTATACCAGACAATGTTTCACTTCTTACATTTGAGTTATAAACAGACGTGGGGGTTGGAATAAAAGGGGTGACTGGAATTTTTTATTGTTTTTTTTTTTTAAGAATTATCTGTCATGAAACACTTTGTTCTGGAATAATCGCAGGCTAAATTAAGGGATCCGGTTTCTTGAATATTTCATAAAAGGGCTGACTGAAATAAGGGTATGAAGGGTGGATTTGTCTCCCGAAAACAATAACCATCCCGGCTCGTCTATCTGAAACTAAAAATGAATGATTTTTAACTGAGAATTTTACAAGAACGTGTCTATTAAAAGAGTTCTTAGCCTTTCTTTTTTTTAACACATTACTTAAGTATATTCTTTTTTTATGAAATCGGATATTTCTTTTATTGTCTGTCTGATAATTAGCCTCACCGTCCCAAGTCCATCCCTTCCAGGGTTTTTTTTTTCTTTTTTCATTACTTGATGATCAATTAGTCGGGAGTGAATTAAAATAAAATAAACATTACAGGCAAATTTAATTATTGACTGGAATTCAATTGAATTAAAAACTTTTGCAGAACTTCTTAAGTGAAAGCAGCTGTTTTTCAGACAGAGAATACGGAATTTATATATATATATATATATATATATATATATATATAGTCATCCACAGGGAGACTCTTTCGCTATATCACAGCACATCAGTGCGACTAGAC